TGTACGTACCCTGTCATCTGCCTTGATCTTATGTTCATGGCCAAACTGACAGCACTAAACATAGCCTTCATGTGGTTAGAAACATTCCAAAGCCTTGTATAATTTGCCCTCATCTGTCCTCAGCCTGAAATAATACAAATTCTCCTCACTTGACTATAAATCATGAGTATCATAACCTTGCTGTGTTTCCATAAACCAAGCACCTCCTCTATTGTGTCATCTTATTTTTTTTTTAAGCATCTGGAAGGTCCCTTTAAGCCAAAGTTTGAAAGCTATTGTCTTGCAGTGAAACTGACTAGCTTGGTCAGGTGACATTCCAGAGCTTCTGGCATAGTTTCTTTGTTGTTGTTCGCTATAATAGGTAATAGGCATCATATCTATAATAAGATAGGCCTGATTCAGTCCAAAGGCAATGAATTTTAGGATGCTGGAGGTGTTATCATGCTCATTCCCCAGTTCTGCATCTTTCTCTATGGTACCTGTCAATTATCACCAAACCATGGCAACCATAACACACACACACACACACACACACACACACACACACACACACAGTGCTCATATTTTGTTAATAGCCTGCAGTACCGACACAATACTTTTTTTCAGCAAAAAGCAGTTAGAAGTGTAAAGAGAGGCACAGAAATGGAGGGACAAAGGGTGAACAAATGCAGCAATGGTACTCACTGGACACTGTGTGAAAAATAAACTTTACACCTTTTGGGTATAGATGGGAGGGGAAACTGGGAGAGAATGAGGGAAGGGGTGACATTTTCAAAAAAGAAATATACTCTTTATTTGATTTATGTACATCACTTTTATAATAGCAATAAATTTTATAAAAGGCAGTTAGGAAGGCTTTCAAGTACACCAGAGTGTTGGAATCTCATTGGAGGCCGCTGAAATTAGTGCATAGACTTTAAATTAAAACAAGATTAAAGTTTTTCCTGGGGGCTAGATGATGTTGCTTAGCATTTGGAAACTCTGTTTTCTCATGTTTAAAATGAAAAGACTATGTGATAGATAACTTCTGTGGAGGATCAAGTATCAGGATGATGATAGCAATAGCTATTTATAATAGTATTTATTCAGGACTTATCTTGTTGAGGAACTTCTCTGTATGATCTATACATAATGCCATTTATACTTTAATAGAAACCTTGAGTGACAAATACTAATTGTTAGGTTTTTAAAAAGAGTTAGCCAAGTAAGAACAGTACCACGCACGTGGTATTCAGGTAAGGGGTAGGTTTATTCATCGTTCTGGCTGGCACCAGGCCATCTTGGTCCACCACACGATGGGGAAAGGCCTGGGAAAGAGAGCTGGGAGAGCTGGGAAAGAGAGAGAAAAGAGCTAGAAAAAAGAGAAAAGAGCTAGAAAAGAGAAAAGAGCTAGAAAAGAGGGCATCTGGGCCTGGGCTAGGCCTTATCTAGGGTATGGGTGGAGAAAGGTATGGCCACATCAAATTCAGATGTGACCTCAGCGGATGCAGATGTGACCTCTTCCAGGTGTGTCAGTTGCCTAGGTAACGCAGGTACTGGGTGGAGACTTTGCTGTGAGGAGGGTGGAGTCTGCTGGCCATCCAGGAGCAGACCTTACATTCTAGCCTTTTAATAATCATGAAATAGGGCGTAGATTCTCTCTGGCTACTTCCTGCTGACAAGGGGCATTGACATTAGGGGTAAAAGGCTGGAATTTGGTCCCCACCCAGAGAAGGCAGCCAGCAGCAGCTGTCCTTTGATGGCATGAGTCCTTAGATGAAGTCTGGAGAAATCTCATGAGGCATTGAGGGGCTGGAAAAAAATACCAGAGAGCAAATAAATGGCAAGAGGAAGGACTTGGGGCTGAAAATGTTGGTAGAAATGTCCCTAGCTACTTCTGACATCTGGTGACTAGATAGTGAAGAAGTCAGGTAGCAAAGGCAAGAATATAAATTCCTGTCTAGTTAATAGGTAGACAGGTATAGACATTGGATGGGCAGGCTTCTTACTTCTATTGACCTCCCGGCTCTGGTTAATTTTGAAAGGGCAGGCACAAAGTTGCTGATGTGACATCATCTCCTCTTACTCCTCTCCATGGTCCCTTGTTCCCCAGACTGGCTTAGTCTAGGTGCTCGTTGTTGGGATGGCTTGTCCCAGTTGGTATTCAAGGAGGTTTGAGCTCAAGGCCTGGGCACTGTCCCTGAGCATTTCTGCTCAAGGCCAGCACTGAACCACTTTGAGTTATAGTACCACTTGCAGTGTTTGCTGGTTCCAGCCTGGCTCTTTGCAGGTACTGGGTGGAGACTGCTGTGAGGAGGGTGGAGTATGCTCAGAAAGACTAACTTTACTGAAGTCACCCAGCATAGTGATGGAAGAGGGACTTAGATTTCAGCCAAGGTTGATTTAAAGCTCCCAGCACTTCACTGATCTCCTCCATTACCTTTGTTTCCTAATGTTACTATAACAAATCTGCAAATTCAGTGATTTAAGATAAAATAGACTTGTTTTCCTATCATGTAGAGCTCAATAAAATCTGACAGCTGAGACTGAGAATGTGGATTAATGGTAGAGTGCTTGTCTAGCATTCTTGAATACGTGGGCTTGATTCCTCAGCACCACATAAACAGAAACAGCCAGAAGTGGTGTTGTGGCTCAAGTGATAGAGTGCTAGCTTTGAGCAAAAGAAGTTGAGGGACAGTGCCCAGGCCCTGACTTCAAGCCCCAGGACTGGCAAAAAAAAAAATCTGACAGCTGAGCAGCAGTGGCTTGCGCCTGTAATCCTAGCTACTCAGGAGGCTGAGATTTGAGGACTGCAGTTCAAAGCCAGCTTGGGCAGAAAAACCTGTGGGATTCTTTTTTTTTCTTTGGGTCCGGTCGTGGGGCCTGAACTCTGGGCCTGGGCGCTGTCCCTCAGCTCTTCAGCTCAAGGCTAGTGCTCTACCACTTGAGCCACAGCTCCACTTCCGGCTTTTTTCTTTTTGCTTATGTGGTGCTGAGGAATCGAACCCAGGGCCTCGAGCATGCAAGGCAAGCGCTCTACCACTGAGCCACCTTCCCAGCCCATCTGTGGGATTCTTATCTGCAATTAACCACTAGAAAGACAGAAGTGGTGCTGTGGCTCAAAGTGGTAGAGCATTAGTCTTTAGCAAAAAAGCTCAGGGACAGCTCCTAGGCCATGAGTTCAAGCCCCCTGATTGACAAAAGAAGAAGAGAGAAGTGGGGGGAGAGAGAGGAGAGAGACAGGGCCATGCTTCTTCTGGAATCAATGGGATAATCCATTTCCCCACCCCACTCTTCCAGCTTTTAGAAGCAGCTGCATTTTTTGGTTCTTAGTCTCCCTCTATCTATAAATTCAACAAAGGCTGATGAGTTTTTTGTCACATGGCATCACAGTGACACACTCTTTCTGACTCTTAAGTCATCTGTCTCTACACCCCACATTTAAGGATGCTTGTCATCAATATTGCTCACACTTAAGTAATCCAGAAATATCTCCTCCTTTTAAATTCAGCTGCTTAGCAATTTCCTTCTATGCCATAGAACATTAGAAACAGAGATTCTGGAGATTAGGAAGTAACTCTCTTTGGAGGGCCACTTTCTGTCTACTACATCTGTTGACACAGTATGGTATCAACAGCTGTATCTACAGTATAGAAAAAGTTCAGAAGACATTGTTTTCATTTCACTTGAGTTTTTCATCTGAGATGTGTTACATCATCAGTACCTCTCTCTCTAGTAGGCTTCATCATTCATCCCTGTTGTTGCAAATGACTTGACCAATCACACAGTACTGTCCCTTACAGACATACCAGAGAGGCACAGAATAAAACACTAATCTATCAACCTAAATCCAAAGGGTGGGCAAGTAATGAAACAGATCAGTCTTTTTCTGAGAGTTGAGATTGAAGGCAAGATAGATTCCTCTTTCCCATGTGATTCACAATGGTTGGTTTTAAAGACTAGGGTAGGAAGCACAAGGGGGAAAAATATGAATGGTCTATAGAAACTGACAATCATCACCTAAAATGAGCAAGAGAAAAAGAACTGCAGGGAATTAAGTTTGGCCAACAACTTAAAGTCTAAAAGCAGGTCCTCTACCAGTGAGGAACACTACTCTGCCAACTTACCAGTGTGGCTCTAGATTAGAGAATAAACACTACATTCAGGTGGAGCTCTCGACTCTATTCTGATTTTGTTTGGGGTAGGTATTGTCAAGAATATTGTTGAGACAACTGGTGAACTTTTAGTTTTCCTAGTTATTAGGTAAATAATATTGAATCAATGTTGAGTCTCCAGGGCTGTGGTTAGTTAGGAGCAGGTCCTTATTCTTAGATGATAGATACTCAGGGATGGAGCACCCTGCATGCATGCAGTGCTAAAGCAAATGTGTACAACAGTGATAGCCAATGAGTGGACAACGATGTTCAATGTGCTATTTTTTCCCGCTTTTCTGATGATTTTTTTTTTTTAATTTAAAAACAAAAGGTGGCAAGGTTAAAAAAACTCAAGCTACCATTTTGGGAGGGATCCATCTGGGGATGAGAAGGGACCCATGTAGTCAGGTTGATGTTTGGGGCGGGACTGTGTAGCGGACAGAAGGGAAGAGAACAAAGTAAATCACGGTGAGGAAAGCTCGTCACATAACTATCATTCTCACATCTCAATCTCGAAACAAAAATCTACGACCGCGGACGTCTCCGGGCGCCCCATTCAAACCCAGATCGGCGCTGTCACAGGTTTGCGCTTGCGCAGACTCTGCAACGCGAGCCTCAGACTGGAAGAGCCCAACCCGCCAAAGATGGGGGAGGCGGCACCCGAAATTTCATGAGTGCTTCATGTCCCAAAGGCACACACTAAGTTTTATCCAGTCTTTCTCCTCACAAAACTTTCTGAAAAATATACACAAATCCGTAAATCTGATGTTTACGGGCAAAAGCTGAATGGAACAGATTTCTATTTCTTCCCTCCACCCTCTCGCCCCCACCACGTTCGCTGCGTGGGCCTGTCCGCGCGGGGCGGAAGTGGAATCGGAAGTGCTGGCAGCGGGGCGTATCCGTCCGCGACCACGGCGGGGGCGCCGTGCCCTTTGCCATGGAGGAGTCTGGGGGCCGAGAGCCGGTACTAGATGCTAAGTCCGAAGTGAGTCCCGGTTGGGAAGAAGAATCTGGCGGGGGGGGGGGGGGGGGGCTGGAGCAAGAAAGAGCGTTCCCCAAGTTGTGTTTTCTGCTTTCGTTTCAGGTCACCAGCCAGGTGAGTGAGCGGCCTCCCCGCCCGGTTCTGGCAGTCTCCTCCGGGGTCCGGCGGTCGGGCCAGTCGGAAGATGGATCCAAACTTAGTCAAACCGCGCCCGCGATCCTGTGACCCTGCGCGGGTGTGCTGCCTTTTGCACTTGCGATGATACCCCGGTCACTCTGATTTAGCTTCCATTTGCCCTAGCGCAGAGTACAGACCAAGTATTCTGCTTTTATGTGATCACTGTAATGTGAAACATCTGAAGCCCTAGCTACTCAGGAGGTGGAGAGCTGTAGGACATTGTTAGAAGCCAACCAAGGCCGAAAAGTCCCTGATTAACTAGCAAAAAGCTGAGCAGATATGTGGCTCAAGCAGTAGAATGCCAGCCATAATCGAGAAAGCTGAGGGAGCATGGGAGCCAGCGTTTTATAAAAGAAAGACAAACTAGAAATCTGAATTGAACTCATCTGTGTCTTTCAGAGAAGTGAAATCACAAGGCAAACCTTTCTTGTGGTAACGACATGTCAGTCTGTTGACAAGTATGATTTGAGTGCCTACTCTGTACCCGTCTCCTGTGTAGTTTTGGAAATAAAGCAGACAGAATTGTGCATTCAGACTTAGATGTTAGAGTCAGTATTAAAAGCTGCACGTATCCAATTTTGTTTTATGCTATGGCAAGACTAAGCAGTCAGGATAAAAAACTAGGTAAAAGAGTGTTGAGGGAGACAATAATTAATATAATCTAAGTATATAACATTTGGAGTCAGACTTTGGTTCCAATTCCGGAAAAGTGTGATCTTATGCACATTACCTAAGCTCTCTAAACCTGGGTTTTTGTCATCTGCACAATGAAAATAATAACCTATAATATTGTGATTCATTGAGACATTCAGTGTATGTAAACTGTATAGTACGTCACCTGGCAGGCATCCATCATGAACACTGATGAAATCTGAAAAACACTCATCACTATTGTTCTAATGTATGCTTTGCCCTTGAGGACTACAGTGAGCAAAGAAGCTGGCATGGTTTCTACACATGCCTCAACAAACTATGAGGCTCAAGTGATTGATCTGTCTTCTATGTAAGGGCTTTCAGGTGTGCAGTAGTTAAAGGCTTAGGAGGTGGGAAAGTGAGATAAAAGATGGTTCCAAGCATTTGGAGTACCCTGAAGTGACAGAAGAAATTTAAGCCTGTTCAGAAGCAACAGTATTGGCATATCTTTTATTGGCATACTTGTATTATACATCTAGGAGAGACTTTTTTTTAAATGATGGCAGTGCTATTTTCTAAATTTATTTCTTCTCTGCCATTTTGGTTGAATAATTATTTCCCTAGAATTTTCTTTCACTGTCACCTGCATTGAAACTAAAAGTTGGGTGTGAGTGCAGTACCATTGAACTTACAACCTGCATTGTAGGCCGTGCTATTTCTAATGAGCTGCTTTGTGCTGTTTTATTATTAAAGCTTATAGATTTTCAGTGGAAACTCGGTATGGCTGTGAGCTCGGACAGCTGCAGATCACTTAAGTATCCTTATGTTGCAGTAATGCTAAAAGTGGCAGATCACTCTGGCCAAGTAAAGAACAAGTCCTTTGAAATGACAATTCCTCAATTTCAGGTTTGTGGTTTAATTCATTGAACTAAAGTATATTTTCTACTTTAAAAACTTCAATGCTGGGCTGGGAAGGTGGCTCAGTGGTAGAGCGCTTGCCTTGCATGCATGAGGCCCTTGGTTTGATTCCTCAGCACCACATAAGCAAAAAGAAAAAAGCTGGAAGTAGCGTTGAGCTGAAGAGCTGAGGGACAGCGCCCAGGCCCAGATTTCAGGCCCCATCACCGGACCCCCAAAAAACAAAACAAAACAAAAAAAACTTCAATACTTTTCTTTATAAATTGATGTGCCTTACAAGTAATTAGTAAACACAAGATCTAGTTTTTTTTTGTTTTTTTGGCATTTGTGAAGTTAATTTTAATAAAATGTGTTGAATATGTATACTGTGCTGTTTAATTATTCTAATCATTCTAGGTTACCATTTTTAGGAATTTTTCATCTTCTCTAGCAGAATATTACAGATAGGGGTCCTTCTTGGCCCATTAAAAAAATATATATGTGTGATATTGTCAGTAGGGGGAAATTAAAAAACTAAAAAGTTTTTACAGGAGAACATTATACCAGCTTATCAAGTGATAAAGAAATGAACTAAAATGTAAAATTTTGCCAATGTTGGTCTATTTTATTGAAATCAAACCCATACAAGATAACCCCTGCTACTCTGAAATGTAGTCTGTTCACCAGGTTTAAAATGATTTAAGGTCCCCTCTAAGCAATATTTTTGTTTTTATCTTCAGAGTTTAAAACAGTGTTCAATGTTTTTTTTTTTTCAGTTCACTGTAAGACTGCAAGCCAAACAGCACATCTTTATCATTACAAAAAGAAAAAAATTCCTTAGAGACCAAGATAAATAGCTTTTTTTTTTTTTTTTTTTTTCTTCGGTCGGGTCGTGGGGCCTGAACTCTGGGCCTGGGCGCTGTCCCTTAGCTCTTCAGCTCAAGGCTAACACTCTACCACTTGAGCCACAGCGCCACTTCCGGCTTTTTTCTTTTTGCTTATGTGGTGCTGAGGAATCGAACCCAGGGCCTCATGCATGCAAAGCAAGCGCTCTACCACTGAGCCACCTTCCCAGCCTGATAAATAGCTTTTAAACATGAATGAATGCCAAAGGAATTAGAGGGAACAGTGTTCAATGTTTAATAAACGTTTAATAAATCTCCCTGGTGTGATCTTCAACAAACTTTCTCAAAGGTTTAAAAAGTTCAGTCATGAGCTAATTATTCAATCTACAATGATATTTTTGCTTTAAATACCGAATTGTACCAGTTTGTTCCTCTTAGCAACTATTATTTCAGGTGTAACATTCAATACAAAAAATAAGTTATATATACCCACATATAATTAAAGGAACTACCAAACTATTCTATAAAATTAATACTTTTCCTCTTTCTCTTCAGAATTTTTACAGACAGTTCAAGGAAATTGCTGCTGTTATTGAAACTGTGTGAAACTCTGGTTGATACAGTCCTATCATCATTTGAAAATTATGGACTCAACTTTCTGCAAAAGAACTACCTAAGGACCAAATGATATTTATCAATGAAAATATTACTTTCCACTTTTTAAATAATAAAAAAAGGATAAACAGGAAATAGATGGTGGTGATCTATATACAGGTTTGTGAATGAACTAGAAGCAACTTAATTGAATGCCTTAAGGGTGTATTTGTGGTATGTGAACTATATCTAAAAACACAGACAAGCAGTGGAATGGAGACAAGACGTTTATGTATTAGAATAATAGTTTGAAAATTTACTGATAAAGGCACCCACTTTATAAACTATTTCACATGGAGTCCTATAAGTACCTGTGCATTAAAAATACTGTATTTGAATAAAGTGTAAGTTTAGCTTTATAACATTTAGGAAGGTGATCATGAGAAATCTGAGTTCCTTTCTCAAACATTTGAAATCTGATTAAGATTTACTATGGTCACCAATCATTCCTGTTATTAATATTTGTAGAAAGTTCACTGCCAATAATCTGGTGTTTGTTGCATATCCCCTTGAAGCATGCCATGTCTGCCTGTCAAGCCTGTGCAAAGAGAAAGGCTGCTCTCCGAATATCATACAAGTGCCATGCACTAAACCAGAGGCTTTAACACAAGAATATGGTCCATTGACTTTCCAGGCTTTCGTACAGAAAAAAAAAATATTTAGGAGAACAAAGCAAGAATGAGTTCTTATTCTATTAGAGATAGGAATATAGTCATCTTGCAAAACCATCACGTGTATTATTTAGAAATTTTCATTTAGAATAGATTTTTTTTTTTTTGTCAGTCGTGGGGCTTGAACTCTGGGCCTGGGTGCTGTCCCTGCGCTCTTCAGCCTAAGGCGATTCTACTGCTTGAACCACAGCACCACTTCGAGTTTTCTGGTGGTTTATTGGAGATGAGAGTCTCATGGAGTTTCCTGCCCGAGCTGGCTTTGAACCTCGATCCTCAGATCTCAGCCTCCTGAGCAGCTAGGATTATAGGCATGAGCCACTGGTGCCCGGCTTAGAATAGATTCTTTTAAATACAAGCACCAATATATAAACTACTTGACAAAAAAAAAAAAGAAAAACCAAATTGCCTAATGTTCATCCATTTCTCTTGGGCACACCAGATGTCTGTATTTCAACCCTTCCTTGCAGTCAGACAAGAACCACATGATTGGATTGAAGCCAGTTAGATCAGAAAGAAATGGCCCACAAATATCCAGTTTTGTTCATAAGTCGTCCATAGGCAAGTTCAAGTCTTCTCATGCTCAGTGTGGAAATGAACTCTTACAGTAGCAAATCAAAACAACATTGAGGGCTGGGAAGGTGGCTCAGTGGTAGAGCGCTTGCCTTGCATGCACGAGGCCCTGGGTTTGATTCCTCAGCACCACATAAGCAAAAAGAAAAAAGCCAGAAGTGGCGTTGTGGCTCAAGTGGTAGAGTGCTAGCCTTGAGCTGAAGAGCTGAGGGACAGGGCCCAGGCCCAGAGTTCAGGCCCCACGACTGGACCACCCCCCCTCCAAAAAAAAAAACCCCAAAAACATTGAGATTCTATCTCACATTGGTCAGAATGGCTATGGTTGATAAAACAGAAGCTTGTGAGGAAAAAGAACCTTTATACAATGTTGACTGGAATCAGCATACAGATTGTTCATGAAACTAAAAATGGAATTACTCTGTGATCCTGCTATATGGTACTGGGATACATATCCAAAGGGTTGTTATGTCAGTATTCAGTAGCGCTACCTGTATACCTGTGTTTATACTAGCACTATTCCCAACAGCCAAAATAAGCTATCAGTTTAGGTGACCATAAAATGATAAGTTGATAAAATGTGTTATTTATTCACAATAGTATTCAGTCGCAGAGAATGAAATAGTTCCTTCATAGGAAAACAGAACTGGAGCTCTTCATGTTAAGTGAAATAAACCAGACTGAGACAAGTATCTCAATTGTAGAATCTGGAGCTTAAAAAAAAAAGTGACAGTAGTATAAAACAGGGTGTGTTTGAATTCGGGAATCAGTAGGAATGAGATATCAAAAAGTGGGCCAGGTGTCATGCTAGTTACTCAGAATGCTGAGATAAGAGGATCTAGGTTCAAAGTCAGCATGGGTAGGAACGTTTGTGAGGCTCTTACCTCCAAAAAACTAAAAAGCTAGAAATAGTAGAGTGCTAGCTTTGAGCAAAAAGAAGTTCAGGGATGGCTCCCAGGCCCAGGCCCTAACTAAGCTTAGGTCCCAGGACGAAAACCAAAATAAAAAAAGTGAATGGGTGTGGATATGATCTGTGTACTTTATACAGGTACCAAAATAGGATAATAGAAACTTAAAGATTGTTTTTAAAAAAGGAGGAACAATAGTAGTAGGGTTAGTTGTGGTGAATCATACCTGTAATCCCAGCTCCTTGTGAAGCAGAGATAATCACAATTCAAGGCTAGCCTAAGCAAAAGTTAGGACATACCTCAAAAAACAAGTTTAATTCCACACTCCTAGGAAGTATATATAGGAGGATCATGGTTCAAGACCAGTACTAGGCAAAAACAATATGATTCAAACTCTTTTGCCCAATTAATATAATAAAAATATAGATTAAAAAATTTAGTGAAGCCTAAGTTTATAGTGTTTATAGGCTAGAGCAGTGTAATGCCACATCACTCACTAACTCACTGAGAAATTCTAGATCTGTTGAAAAGGTCGAAACAAACTGTCCTATACAGGTTTATCATTCTCAGCTTTTTATAATGTCACTTTTTGGGAGGGGGGGAATGGGGGACTGGCCACTAGGCCTCTCACTATGTAGTCCAGGCTGGTCTGGAACTTGTCATCTATCTACCTCAGTCTCCCAAGTGCTAGGATTACAGGTTTGTGCCACCAAGCTTAGTGCCACCAAGCTTAACTTCTTTTGCTCTATATTTCTATACATTTTCTGTGTTTAATTTGTGTTTTATCTAACTGTAAACACCACCATTACAACTGCCCACAACATTTAGTAACATGTCTTACCATTTGGCTTCTGAGGAGCAACAAGCTATATACATTGCCGCCTAGCTATGTCACATGCCACGGCATCTAGGTTTGTGTAAGCATAGAATCACCTGACAACACATTTCTCAGAAAGTATCCCTGTCGGTATGCAACATATGCTTATATTTGCTGAGCAACAACAAATGTGATTTTTCAAATGAAAGAGTCTCTAACAGAAACTAAAAGATAAATTTCTAAGTCATCATTGAAGGCAAACTGCCCACAGGAAAAGCCAGGCTTATCTCTCTCTAGTGCTTTGAGCTAGAAAGCAACATCTGTCATGGTGAGACATTTGGGGTTGGTACAACAGCAAGTGAACAAAACTGAATAACATACAATCTATGTTTCAAGATTTTTACTTTAGCCGTGCGCTGGTGGCTCACGCCTATAATCCTAGCTACTCAGGAGGCTGAGATCTGAGGATCGCGGTTCAAAGCCAGCCAGGGCAGGAGAGACCGTGAGACTCCTATCTCCAATAAACCACCAGAAAACCCGAAGTGGTGCTGTAGCTCAAGTGGTAGAGTGCTCGGCTTGAGCTGAAGAGCTGAGAGACAGCGCCCAGGCCCAGAGTTCAATCCCCATGACCGACAAAAAAAAAAAAAAAAGATTCTTACTTTAGCATTTCTACTTGCAGAGGAAATAAAAGAAACATAGTGAATGCCTGCCGGAACCAGAATGATTGAATAAATTTGGTATATTATACTATGGCATAACATAAGCTGCAAAAATTTGCCCTTGACCTATTTCAATGCATTTTATAAAATAGTGTAAAATACATCCATTTATATTTGGATGCTTCAAGGAAAATTAAACGTGGCCATTTTGGTGAACACTTGTAACCCCAGCTAATAAGGAGGCATAGAAAGGACCGTAACAGTTCAAGAGAAGCCCTGGATGAAAGCAACATCCTCTTTGAAAAATAACCAAAGGCAAAAAGGCCTGGGGTGGGGGAGGGGTGGGATAATAGGGACATAGCTCTTGGTAAATTGCCTGCCTCACAAAGAGAGGACTTGAGCTCAAATTCTTGGACTGGGAAAAAAATAAAGGAAAATTAAAAGCCTCAAAGCATCATACATACTGTAGAAGAATATCTAGAGAAGGAGAGAAAGAGCAGTCAATTTTTAAAAATGTAATTGGTACATTAAAAATACTTTTCATGATTTTTTTTTTTTTTTTTTTTTGGTCGTGGGGCTTGAACTCTGGGCCTGGGCGCTGTCCCTCAGCTCTTCAGCTCAAGGTGAGCGCTCTACCACTTGAGCTACAGCGCCACTTCCGGTTTTCTGGTGGTTTATTGGAGATAGGAGTCTCAGGTCTCTCCTGCCCGGGCTGGCTTTGAACCGCAATCCTCAGATCTCAGCCTCCTGAGTAGCTAGGATTACAGGCGTGAGCCACTAGCACCCGGCTCTTTTCATGATTTTTTAAGCTGGGTGCTGGTGGATCACACCTGTAATCATAACCATTCAGGAGGAAGAGTTGTGGCTCATGTGGTAGAGCATTAGCCTTGAGCAAAATAGCTCAGAGACAGCAGCTAAGAGTCAAGTCTCAAGACTGGCACAGATACATGATTTTTTCTTAATAATTGTTTTGTTTTTTTTTCAGGGGGGTCTGGTCGTGGGGCCTGAACTCTGGGCCTGGGCGCTGTCCCTCAGCTCTTCAGCTCAAGGCTAATGCTCTACCACTTGAGCCACAGCGCCACTTCTGGCTTTTTTCTTTTTGCTTATGTGGTGCTGAGAATCGAACCCAGGGCCTCATGCATGCAAAGCAAGCACTCTACCACTGAGCCACCTTCCCAGCCCTTAATAATTGTTTTTAACTTTTGAAAAGTTCTGTGTCCTTATAAGGTTTTCCTTATAGCTAGGATTGTAAGTCTGAGCCACTGGAGCCTAACCCTTGGTGGGATTTTTAAAATGATGCAAAAGCAATTCATAAAAAAGCTAAGAGCTGGGTACCAGTGGCTCACTCCTATAATCCAAGCTACTCAGGAGACTGATATCTGAGGATTGAGGTTCAAAGCCAGGAAAAGTCCTTGAGGCTCTTATTTCCAATTGACCACCAGTAAAGCAGAAGTGGTACTGTGGCTCAAAGTGT